CTCAGGGTTCAGAACTGTGACTTGCAGCCTTAAATCAGATGCAGGTTTCTAGTTTTCTCATGGAAAACAAAAAACACCCTATGTCTGGATGGAAGCAGAAGCTTTGCTGTGTCTCATCTGATCCCCCTGGCATCTCCCTAGTGAATGTGTGGACATGGCACCTCTTTACACCCATGGCTTTGGATAGCTACTGGCACAGAAAGGGACCTTCCGTGGATAGTGGCAAAACAGCAGGAGCACTGGAGAGGGAGAAAGCAGAGTAGAAAGGAGGCAGGATGGGACACAGTGGATGAGAAAGAGAAAAGTAAAGGGAGTAAGCCAAGAGGCATTACTGGGAGGACAAAGGGAGGCAGCCCAAGCGCTCCTGGTCCCAGCAGCCCCCAGCAGTGCCTGGATCATCTCCCTACATGACTCTGTCTAATTTTTGCCTCATGCAGGCAAAGCAGCAGCTGTCAACTGATTAGCTTGGAGCAAGCTGAAAATGTAGCAGGACTTGGCCTTTTATTCTTGCTCCTGGCTCTGCTTGAGGTTTGCAATCAGCTGTTAATGTCTCTCCTCTCACACAGTTTATTCCTTTCCCCTGTCATTGTGATTACATGGAGCCCGGAGTTTGTCCTGCCCTCCTTGGGTAGCTCAGCTATGTCTCTCTGCATGCAGTGAGTGTGAGAAATGCCCATGAAGCACACTCAAAGCCTCCTCTGCTTCTCCCCTCCAACATTTCTAATATGCAATGAAATAATTCCTCACAAGGAGGAGGCTTTGTGCACGGGAGTGCCAGAGTGGGGATAGGGTTTTCTATCAAGCAGACAGACAGGAGTCTGACACCCCACAAAGACATGGATGGCAGGACAGACTGCAGGGAAATACAGGTGTGGGCTTTGAAACAGCAACCCAAACCTACGCTGTGTTTCTGCTTGGGACAGGCTGCTTCCTTCCCAGGTGGCCTGTCAGCTGTGCCAGAGCATGCTGGGCATCATGAATTTAGGCTTTCTTGGGGGGTAGGTCATCCAGCAGCATGGCTCAGCTAGCAAGGCATAAGAAGCATAAGGAAAAGCAGATTTCTGAGAATCCGTAATTGTTTTTCTATGGGAAAGTTTTCCTCAGAGATATTTAAAAGGTCCAGGAGAGAACCCTGACCTGGTTTGGTGCAGACACAAGTAATCCACCAACAACTGGGGAGTGCAGCTGCAGCACCTGTTGAAAAGGTTTTATTTGCCCACATTGACTGTTCTGAGCAGTGTTTGTGTGCATATAGAAATCAACAATTGATTCAGCTGTTCATTGAGACAGTAAGGCCATGGCTGTTCACATCTTAAAACAGGAGGCTAAAGTCCCTCCAGGTGTCAGGCACTTGCCTGTTTCTCAGGGACACTCTCCCACACAGCCTGCCCTAACCTGGCCCAGGCACAGACACCACCAGCTGTGCAGCTCGGTGCCTGGGTGCTCTGGAGCAGCTGCTCCCACTTCTGGAGGGAACCCAAAGGAAAACTTTTGTGTTTTAGCATTCAAACCTGCCTTTGGGCAGGTTGAACTAACACGAAAATCTACTTAACCTGCCAGATGCCACCAGTGCACCCCTGGACCCAGCCAGTCAAGTGCAGCCACTGATGGGAATGTTCCTATATGCTGACTGCTGAGGGCTCATCCTTCAGTAAAGTAAATGCAGCCAACCATAGATTTTAGGCCAGGATATATAACCTGCTTTCCTGTTTTGAAAGATTCCATCTGCACAGCTCTTTTGGTAGCTAAGGAGATTGCAAATCCCTCTAAGACAGGTTGTGGAGTTATCTCTGAGCACCTGCATTTCCTCACTCTGACAGGATGGACAGGCAAACAAATGAAGGGGAAGCATTTCTGCTCCTCACACAGGGAATATAACTAAACTAAATATCATTCAGCTGTGAGAGGAATGGCTCCCTGACAGGATCCTTTAGACCACAGTACTGGCTGTGCCATTTCACATGAAACAAGAATTCCCAAGAACATATAATTTCCCTTTCTGTACACAAAATCCTCTGTCTCTGCTGGTGACAATATTTTGGGAGCAGCCTTGCCACTGCTTGCAGGATAGAAGTCCATTATTTGTGCATTATATTCACCCACAATTTCCTCTTTTGGGGCTTGGCTGAGTTTCAGGAGCACTCCTTTACCTGCCTGGAGGCAGTGTACAATTTCCCACGGGGATGCTGGAGAGCAGAGCATCACTGCTGATGCTGTGCTGGTGCTGCAAACCAAGGCTGCCCTCTGCCTCCCTGGGCTCTGCAGCACAGCATGGCTGCAGCCCACACCTCTGCTGCTGCTGGGCACGGGCCTTGGTGCACAAAGAGATGGAGGGACATGGAGGAGGCTTCCCCAGGCCCACAGCAGGGCACTGAATGTGCCCTTCTGGAAACCTTCTCAGTGGGGACTGACCTGTGCTCCTCTGCCTGTCACTGCAGTTTTGTCTTTGGCAGTCCCTGCATCTGCTCCATGGCAGGCCCCTCCCCTCTGCTGGGACATCTCAAGTTTGATCAACCCAGGCTAAACCCTTGGGGTCTGGGTGAAGGTGAGGAGGGCTGAATGAGAATGGGCCATGAGCTCTTGCTATGCATTCACCCCTTACATCAGCATTCCAATTAATAAGTCTTTACAGAAAGAAGAAGAAAAGGCCTCTAACAAAAGACCACTGTTTACACAGAGCTGTTAAGTCTAATGAGAAATTAAATTATTTTTGTTATCAGAGTAATGCATAATACATTCATTTAAAATAGCTGACATAAATAAGACTTTACAGAATTGACTGTGACAGGTATAAAGAGATGCCATGAGACTGTAGTTCAAAAGGATGGTCAGTTCATTAAAAACCCAGCATGATGCAGACCATTCTAGAAGCTGTATTGTCTTATTTACATCACTCATGTTAAGCCATCCTTATATTGCTCACTGCTGCATTCCCAAAAGCAGCTGGCAGGAATGCACCTTGATTGGGACTCTGTTTCTAGAGTAGCATTATGTACTAGAGATATGTTGATGGAAGCCAAGGAAAAAGGAAATTAAGACACCTGGTGACATTTGTTAGTGAGAGGAGCTTTTGCTGAAGTTAAACTTACAGTACTAGCTTGAGAAAACAAATGGTATTTTTGCAGAGGGACAAACTAGAGCCAGTGCCATTCACTGACATCAGTGGAAATCAGAGGCTTACAGCCTCCATTGCTTTGAGCTTCCTAGACCTGCCTGCTGGAGAGTGTCAGGAGATCTGGCGCTTAGATCCTGACACCTCAAATTTCAGAAATCTTAGCTCAGTGCTTTGTTGAGTTGAGTTTACCAGCATCCCAAGCCATGAAATTGTAGCCTCAGAAGGTTTTTGACTTACGGAATAAACTTTTATACATGCACATAGATAATTGTCTGTTATACAGGCACATACCCCCATTAATAATGAAAGTTTGTTCAGGGACACGGCATAAATCTGCACCACATCCTTTGACCCCTTGTACCACAGACCCAAGCAACAGGGTGTAAGGAAAGAGTGCCCACCCCATCACACCTAACTTTTACAAAAAGCAACATGAATCACGTGTAGTACTCACAGCACGGTGCCAGTGCTTTTCCTCTTGACCGTGAAGTGTGTGGAATCATCTGAGAACTCCACCTCATAGTTGGCTTCCTCAGCAGTAACCCCGGGGCCACTGATCTTGAGTGGGACTTCAAACCGCTGCGCGTTGGGGTCGTAGAGCTAAAGCAAGGTGAGCAGGGGGCAGGTCAGCTCACTACTTAGCATGTGTTGCTTTGGCTAAATGATTGCAGCCCCCCAAACACTCACCCTGAACCGGAGTCTGTCCTTGGTCTGGAACTCCACTTCCAAGACGATCGGGGAAATGTCACTTCCGAAGAGGGACAAGGCCTGGCGCTTGTTCAGCGTGACTCTGCAGTGGAAACACATGCTGGTGCCCACCACGAGTGATCACTGCCTCAGACCACCCTCGGGCAGGCCAGGGGACCACCCAGCTACCCTGCGCCAGCTCTTTACAAATAAATCATTGACTTACTGAGAGAAATAATCCCTGAGGTCAGTTTGGGCCCTCCTTGATGTTGATGGATAAAACAGAGGTCCCCAAAGAAAGGAGACCTCGTAGTTTCCTGAGGCACAGCTCCCGGGGTGGGAGGGACCACTCCGCGCCTACACCTGGTTCCCTCACCTGAGGTGTGGTGAGAGCACAAGCCCCAGTTCTACGGCACACACGGGGAAAGGTGTCCCTTTCCCTCCTTGCCACAGGTGTATCGCAGCAGCTGCGGGAATGTTTTCGGCGAGGGTGCCCGGGGCGGCAGCGGCGGCCCCGGGGCAGGGCCGGCCTGCAGCGCCCGGGGCTCCACACGCACTCACCTCCAGCCCTTGTCGGTCTGCTCGGCGTTCCCGCTGCGCGCGTAGCCGTAGGGACTGTTCTCGGGGAAGAAGCACCAGGGAGCGTTGGACACATCGCTGGCGCACCAGGTGCAGCCCCGCGCCTCGCAGGCCTCCTGGGAAGCGCCGGGCTGCGGGTGGCAGTCAATGCGCTTCTGCACCGCGATGGCGCCGGGGCACTGCGCGTCCTGCTCCGAGCCCCGGCACCCGCCCAGGGCTGCGTGCGGGAAGAGCCGTCAGAGCAGCCGGGAACCGCGGTAAAAAGTAAAAAACCCCACAGCACCGCAAACTTCAGCCATTCTTTTTTTTTTTTTTTTTTTTTTTTTTAAAAGTCTTTTCTCCCCCCCTTA